CATGTCGGTCCGTATAGCGACATGAACCGTGTTATAGCGATTTCTGCTCCTGATTCGCCCATTAGCGGGACCCCTTAGCAGAATAATATCGACGACCCAAATCTCGAACGAAAGTATTCACATAAACGCTGCCTCCATAAACCTTGACAATGCCAGCCTCGCTCGTCCAAACGCTACGTCTACTCTACTAATGTATTTGGTGACATCCCGTGACCATTCGGTTCTTTCCGTAGAATACCGGTCCAGTTTTCACCTAGCCAATCGTGTGCATTCTTTTATTAATCCTACTTATAACCAGCCAATGAAATATGTTTTCACTTCCTCTTTGGCCAATAAATTCGCCATGATGGTTCAATACGACTAATCTAGGCGTGTTGTTGGTGACATTTGATTTCGCCTTTCAAGCCCCACAATGGATTCACGCTATTTTAGCGTGAAAGTGGTAAGAGCTTTGGAATCTTTCAAGTGCCTGATAAGAATAAGCCTCGATCGAACAGTGGGTGAACTGGCTAATTTAGCAATTGAGAGAGTGGGCCTACTTCCTACTTCTTCCACGCCCAGCATTGTAGATGATGATGGACTGCGCATCGAAAAAATTATGGCCTTTGATTCCGCTTCCAGTTCAGACGTTACGACAAATGGTAACATCGTAGACGCATCAACACCCCTCCATGTCATCGTAGATTTTAATCTGATGTTTGTAACAGTCTTTCTTGTTTGCAAAGTGAAAGTCAGTGGTTCAAAATCAAACTCAACTCCTTCAAGTGGTGACAACGATAAGCAGGGAAAAAATGCTTTTGATGAAATGATGTCCAGTAACATAAAGTATGATTGTTTACCCCCCTCAAAAAATTATAACAATCTTAGAAAAGACCATAGGATGTTTAATGACATTCTTAGTTTGTTGAAAGAAATGAATGTTGGATTCACAGCCCATAATGTTAATAGTCTTGGGAAGCAATTTGTCAGCACACTCCACAATACATTATGGTATATTACTTCACAGCATCATAAGTTTAAAGATCGTGGATTACAAATTCCAGATATATTCCAAAAATTTTCTGGATATTATGACAACAAGGCCTGTCACAAAGGACCTCCCCAGGTAGATTTTGTTTTCTAGAACAAGGCTAGAATTAAAATATCCAAACAAAGCAAACTGTTAAAAACAGTAAAAGACATAGACATACATACAATAAACAAAACTAGTTATGTGGACTTTTCATATGGCATGAAAAGTGGTATCAGGTGTTCCGGAGGGGTAAGCGTACCCTGCCCTGTGCACAGCACCCGCCACAAAACAATAACTAGCAATGAAACACAACCTTTATGTAATAGACATTTGATTTTTAGTAGGGGAGTTATAGTATAGAATTTATTCACTCTGCAGGAGTTGTGGTCAACAATTCAATTATATCAACAAAGCTTGCCAAAAGAATATTAGCTATGTGGACTCTCCTTTAGAGATGGCAAATTGACACCAAGTTGTAGAGTGGCATCATCAAATGTTTGACAAGATTTTTTATATTGGAGTGTAACTGTAAGATGATAATCTGAGAGTTTGTTGAGAAATTAAGTGTTCAGGGAATAAAACGGGATTCATTTTGTTACGGAATTTGATTTTCATTTGTTCCTTTGATAACCTCTTCTATTTTATAATTTCAGATGCAAGAGAGTAAGCTTAGGTCATTGATAGATGAAATGTCAGATTTTTTAATGATTCCATGGACCATGAAGTTTACTAAATTATTCAATGCTGTGGAAGGCTTGATTAACATATTGAAGAAGTATGCTGACTTTTTATGTCAACAAAACATTCGATCACAAGCGCGCAATGCTTCCATGGAACCACTGAGGAATCCAAACATCAATTTTTCATTAACCCCAATCCAAAAACTCACAGGTCCAATTAGAGCTGATTACATGGCATTAGATGCAACCTTGTCTGTGAAAGAACCTTACGAATTCCTTGATTTGGTTGAATTCTTACCAGAAGAGCGATTTGACAGGCGTTCATGGTTAGAACATATGCAACTTCCGTATCCTGTCGCCCATTACACATATTTTCATGGTAATTACTTGGGAAATATTAATTTCATTTGGAAGCTTCCACCCGAAGATGAAAGATCAGATGATAAAACAGTTAAAACTGTACAGCAAATAAGTGAATATATACCTACATTTTCCACACGATACATCAGGCAACAGTTCCTCAACAAATATGTACAAGCTACAAATTCACCCAAAGCAGTCCTCAGAAATTTGTATCGATTTCTAACTAACGACTGCTCGTCTGCAGAAACCGAAGACCAGGAGGTTATTGATAAACGTGTGGAAGAAGTTATCTCCCTCCAGGATCCTGAACTCACATGGGATTTAAGAAAGATGAACGGCAATGCTCGAAATTCAAAGTTTGATATATTTTGGACCGAACTTGACAATTATTTCAATGAAATAAATCTAGCTGTACATGAGAGACGTCATGGTCAACATATGTACTTACCATACGCAATATCTATTGAAGACCTTGTGTCAATTATAAAAAAGCGGTTGCCCGAAAACACTCCGATCCCATCAAACGAATGGGTGAGATTACAATTCTGGCCAACTAACCCAAACACAATAACAGCACTGCGATATACGGCAAGGTTTGAAGTTAAGTTTACTATTCAATCCAGACAAATACGAGGTCAGCATGAGGATAGTCACTATGTAGCAGTACAACTACAGTACATCAAAGCCTTTGCGGTAAAATATAGAGAATTTACAGATTTCTTGTGGATGGATGACAAGGCTATTGTGCCAATTGGAGAACCAGGATTACCAGTTTCAACAGGAGTAAGACCTCATAATCGTTCTCTGGCTCCGAAATCAGGCCCTTCGATAAGTGCTCTTGACCATGACTACAATGTTTGTGGTGCTATCCCCTCAGTTACTTTCAAATGTGATATCCCTGAGGCTGCATCTAGTTCCTTCTTCAACGGAATAGCTTTTGTGACGGTTAAAGATAAGGTTTTCAGTCCGTCAAATGCCATCCGCCATGGTTGTGAAACAACCAATATATTAAGAACACATTATAGCCAGGATGATACCCAAGTAAACGCTGAACACCCAATTTTGATCATGTATACAGACGGTGGCCCAGATCATCGGACAACATTTGGTTCGGTTCAAATAGCAGCCATCTGCATGTTCATGTGGTTAGATTTAGATTTTCTTATAACTGCTCGCACTGCACCTATGGGTAGTTGGGCCAATTTAGCGGAACGAGTTAATTCTAATCTTAATCTTGCTTTGCAAAATGTGAGTCTTTCTCGAGAACATATGACAGACAATCTAGAAATGAAGATGAGGGGTATAAATAGTCTAAAAGCAGCCAGAGACACAGCAAGACGATACCCTGCGTTTAAAGAGGGTCTCATCCAATCAGTAGCACCTGTTATAGAATTGTTGCAGGAGAGATTTGGTCATTTGAAGTTAAAAGGGGAACCAATAGTTATTAGTCCATCTGCAAATCAAGAATCAATTGATGACTTTTTTAAGATTGTGAAGGATCTGATAGACCAAAATCTGATTGAAAACAAACTAACAAAACCTGATCTAGAAAAATCAGCAACACTTCAAGATTTCATGAAGAAGCACTGTCGTTTACGTAATTACACATTTCAAATTAAAAAATGTGCGAATGCTCTGATAGAAAACTGTGCTTACTGTCTCTTTAACCCACCAAGACTTCCTGATGAAGTGTTTGATACCCTATCCTTCGTTCCAGATCCTGTGGTAGCATCCAACAATAAATATGAATCATTCGAAACTGTTTATGGACAAGCAACAAATGATTTGGCAAGGCCCTCGCTAATGCTGTCTTCCCAAAATAAGGAAATTGACAAAAAGAATAGAAAAATTCTCAATGCTACTAAAGTAAGAGATGCGGTGTTATGTGTCGAATGTGGGAAACCACGGTGTGTGTACTCTGAAACTAAACTAACATATATAGAGAAACAAGCTGTTGATCGTCTCAAAGAACTTAATTCTTTTACATGTGGTTCCCCACTCTTCCCACATTCCAGCAAATATAATAGTTCTATAATAGTCCGAGAAGGATTGAGATGTTGCTCCACGATGGAAACAACTTACTATTCAAAGAGCACTGTATCATTACCTGCAGTTTGTTTTCATTGTGGAGTAGCTAAGTCTTCAGATTTTGCTGCAGATCAAAACATTCAAAGCTTGCAAGCGCAATACAGTGTTGTTCGACCGATATGTGTGAAATGTAAAGATGATGGCAAGGAAGCCATAGTGAGAGGGAAAAGAAATGTAAAAAGACTAAGAAAAATGTAAGATGATGGCAAGGAAGCCATGGTGAAAGGGAAAGACATTAAGTAGGAGCCCCAAAACAGATGTCACTAGACTTTAACACTGTAAAATAGCTGTTTCAACTTTTATTTTATTAAATGTGTTCACTTAAAGGTTGTTTTGGTTTTATGCAGGAAAATGAAATGAAATGTAGTTTAATGTCCCATTTTTATGCACCGTAAAGCTAATTAGAGACGGGCATGTGCCAAGTATGTGCAGTGAGGGTGAATATAAAGTGAGAAATAGTAAATGTATTGCAGTACAACCAAATTTTAAGTAATATAGACGCCATTTTGAATTCCCGCCCTTTGAATTTTTTTCATATTAATTTTAATTTTATTAATTGACTCAGCAACCCTGTACACCCTCATATAGCTCAATATGATGCATGCAAAGTGAGAAATAGTGAAGATATTGCAATGCCTATAAATTTAAAGTAATATAGCCGCCATTTTAAATTTCCGCCATTTTGGATTTTTCCATCATCACCAAAAAATTCAGTGAACCCCAAACTCTAATAGTTATTATGATAAATATAAAGTGACAAATAATACCGTTATTCCATAAAACTTGAATTTTCACTCCATTTTAGCTCAAAAACTTCTGGGGGTATTTTTTTTTTTTTCCCCCTGCCCTTTACACAATTTTGGTCTTTTTTTTTTTTTTTTTTTTTCCCTCCTGCCTTTACAGATTTTTCCAGAAAAAATCCGTAAAACAAGAAAATAAATTGGTCTGGCCTAATCGATGTAAAAAGTAAACTCAAAATTTGAGCTGAAATATACATACTGGTACTTGTACATATATACATGTAACAAAATATGAAAATAACAAATTATAAACGTTATCAGTAACAATTTAACAATGGATTTAATTTTATTGTAAAGCTGACTTATAAAAGTCTGGTTTTAAACATGATCAGACATATTGTAACCACAAGGAATACTTGATGAAGATACCATGTAGCACATTGGTGAAATATGTCCGGCCAATGACCACATCTTGATATGTGGTTTTGAGATTTGATACATCTAAATTAAGAATCTAGTGAACACCACAACCGTTATCACATTTATGTCAAATATCAATTTTTTATACTAACAATTTGGTATTCCCTTTATATACCGGTATATATTTTTGGTAATATTCATCTAAAGCAAAAGAATTGGGACTATGCGATCACTTGTCCATTTGGCAACTTTCTTTAAAATCAGGGGAAATCTTTACTTCTAGAAGTGGGATATCTGACACAAATCTTAGCGTTTGGTTACATTCACGTCGTACTATGCACTAGTAGTTGCCTATTTATTGTTTGGTAATCATATCATTTTAGCTCTACTCTAGATTACAAAATAAACTTGATTTGGATTTGACATGACTTTCTTTGGTTTTGACGAATTTGTATCAAATTGACAAAATATTTTCTAGGTGTAATACACTTATAACGTTCTAAGATAATTAACACTATTACATACATGACAGGTTAATAGGCAACATTAACAAACACCCACAGGCAATAAGTCGTCCAAGAAGTCCACAAAGGTAACAGATCTATTCTTTTGTAGGTAATATATAAAAGACAATAAAACTGACTGAGTGTAACAATCCATGAATTAATTATTAGAAACAGTTAAAATTTGATATACAAAATGTGCCAGTAATCAGATGATAACTTCAGCTGTTTGAGTTATGGGAATGGTTGAAAATCAATAATCCTCTTAGTCTTATAAGAATAAACACTGTGCATTTAGCCACTAGGGTCCTAAATATTAAGGACACTAACTCTAAAAGTAATTCTCTATCCTGTGGCCATGTTATGTATAAATTTCAAGTCAATCAGATGTTAACTGTAGAATCTAGTGTGTCTACAAGTAATTGTGGACGACAGACGAACAAATAATATGGAACCAATAACCAAATTCCAATGTGGGCGTATAAAAAGATAAACTAAATAGCAGAAATTATACTACAAAACAACATTACGAAAAATTGCATTTACAATGGTTTTGACTTCTGATTGGCCTATCTGAATATCTCAACTTATAAATATTGCACATCAGACAGACTAGATATATTTATAGTCAATTGCTCTGAATCTATTTTTTAATAACTGCTTAGTTATAGATAAGATTTAAGTTAGTTTCCACAAAACCAAGTAAAAAATCAGATGAACTTTATTAGGTCTTTTTCTCTAAAAAAAAACAACAACTTTGTCTGCAGATTCATCATTGGAACAATTAAAATTGGCTAATTTGTAGTTTGGAATACCAGCAAAATTGTAATTTTTTAATCCATGTGGTGAAGCAAGCAGATATTCAACAAATATTTATTTGTAATCTCAATCATTTCCTAAGTATGGTCAACAAAGAAAATCCGATGGTTGTTTATTCTTTTAAGTTGTGCTTACTACCAAAATAAAAAAAATGTCATGTACTAGGATTTATATATGTTATATACAACAGCCATTTTTGTAAAACAATTGATCACTTTAAGCTTTCGATGTATGGCATATCTAAAAGGACTAAAGTCTGAAAATAGTATACAGCAATATCTAATATATTAATAAGATCTATTTAGCCAGACGTTATTTGTGCCCTTTTAATCCATCCATATAGTTCTTCCCATAAAATTTGCTTTCTGGGCCAGTTGGAATATTACAATTTGCCTACATATATTTTAATTGGGGGGGGGGGGGTCTGTTTGGAAAAATAAAAGCATTGCAAAAGATTTCCCAAATTTTCTGAATCAAAGGTTTTGATTGGTCTTCCAAGAATAACTAATCAAGACCAATATGTCAATATACAAATGTCAATATCATTGGGATAGATTAGGCCATTTTTAAACTATTATATGGTGTACAATGCCAGGTAAATGAATTTTGCCAGGAAAGCAGTGTTTCTACCTACTATTCACCAAATTCCAACTGTCGAGGGTTCTTTCATGAGCAAACTAACATGTACACTGGTGGACCCTGGTTTTTCATACCATCAGACTGTTGTGCACTTTACTTCACGAGAATTTAGTCGAGAATCCAGTGCTCTTACTACTACAACATCAATTTGAATTAGACTAATATATTATAATTGTGATTTTAACATGCTTGATAATGATAGTGAAAAAGTTTTAGCACATTTTTTGCATAAAATAAACATTAATATATAATACAATTAAACAACGATTGTGACCTGTACAATATGATATCATATGTGTGACCTCTTGCTACCTATCGTACTTGACTTTTATAATCCACTCTGCATGAGGATTAGTTTTATAAATATCCAATATGTTGGCTTTGGGATCAATACAGCGCTCCCCTGAAAACAGAAGATGCAAATACATCTTAGAAATAAAATACAATTAATTTGAAAGACAAGGAAGTTTTCAGATAGACTTGAAACCAATAAACATTCCCTGGAAATTTGAAAATTTGTGTGTTCACAATGGACAACTGAGAGTTAAAAAACAATATATTAAAGACTTATTAATTTGATAAAACTCCAAATTTACAGATGGATGGACAACACAATTCAATATAAGGACAGTTTGAATTCAGGCTTAAAAAAGAAGTTTTAATTCCAGTATATATCTATACTGATCGCACTTCAGGATCTTAATACCTTGTTTTAAAGTAATAAATAAACCAATTACCTATATTTCCACCAACTTCAAACAAATATGCATTGTCTTCTGCAAACTGGGCATTATCAGGATTACGAAATCTTGGAGGCAGATTTTTATAACCATGATTACTGTAAAAATGAATTTATTTTGAAACTTATTGTTGTGACATCAAAGTCATTGTTATTGTTAACAAAGATTTCATATAGCAGAATGCTCATGTTCATTGCAATAAATATTAACAATGAATTTGTGCAAAATTGTTGACAAGGGTAACGATTCTTGGCATTTTAGAAGAATCACAGTGGATCCTTGCAAAACTTATATTTATTTTTGGAGAATAATCAAGAAAACAATCGAACCTGTTAGGCTTGTCATGTGAACCTGCCTGTCGTTTAAATGGTGCTACAACGTCGGCAGCAGTCATTCGGTCATCTAGTTGTATCAATGCAGAACTTTTCGTTAAGTGGGGTGCCTGCACCCTAATTACACCCTCCTGGGGTTCCGGCTGAAAATGAACAAAATCTTTAATCCTATATTATTCTCTATGAACAATAAAATAAATCTGAAAATGTAGGGTATGAGGAGTGACATCAGATGTTCTAGAAAAATTGAAATTAACATCTGTACAATGGTCAAAGGCAATCAAGAGAAATGTACAATTGAAATTCTTTTTTCAGCTTTTTTACATTCAAGCTGGAACAGTATTTAGGTGATGAACAGTGTCTATACAAACAATTATTGATACAGATCCAATATTGATATAAAATTAGTTTTTGTACTGTCAATATTACTGTTATGGCTGTAGTAAAATGTAGAATTTAAACTGATGAATATTTTGTTCTAACAGCAACAGTGTCCAGTTATCACGGTAAAACTTTAACCCACCTCTTGAGAAGAAGATCTTTTATAGGCTTCACCTTTATCACCTTTATCTTTCTTTAAGAATCTTTTAATCTAAAATAAAACCAGTCTAATTTAAATGACCCATGACATTTCTTTCAGGAACCCATTTTTAAAAGTGGCATTCTCCACCCAATCAACTACAGGTAATTCTCAATGGAATAATCCGGAGCATCTGTGATAATGGCTCTATAAATTCCAGGTTAATTCTAATAGAATGTTTAAAAGTTGAACAAGTCAGAATGTTTACTCACTCTGTTTTCTCGACTTTTGGCTTTCTGATCTACCTCATACTGATGACGAACTTGATCTATAAATGATGGTGGTATCTATAAATAAACAACATGAATTCACTTTTACAACAGTACATTTTTCTACTCCACATGATTATTAATGACTAAATCTATTATTAAATAATTTTATATTCATTCACAATATTTTCATTTGAACAATATCAGGGAGCCACAGAGGATTGGTGAATATGGCACTGGCTCTTTAACCAGAAGTACAGGGTTCGATCCCAGTGTTGGATGAAAAATTTCCTTGGGTTTTTCCAGCATGGTTTCCGTATTGTCACATGTGCAAGAAAAAAGTGTCTTAGTTGTTTGGATAAAACAGAAAACTGAGGTCACACGTATTCCACTGAACCAAACTAAAACACTCTTTTACATATTTGCCTTTGAAGTTACTGGATCACTGCATCCACATCTTTTCAATCCCAAAATAAATATACAACACTCATTAATTATTTGGACATTTATCTGAGTTGAACATGTTCATTATCAAACTTAGTCATGGTATTGGTGTAATGGAACCATTAAGTTCATCACTCTAACTTAATTAGAACGAAAGCATTGAAAATTCGAAGTGGAAAACACTCATCATTAAATCAGTGCAATTGTGTTCCAAAAATTGTGATAGACAGATGGATGAACCCATAAACATGTATGCTAACTTACCGTCCATAATATATCTTGATAATGTATTAACATGGTGATTATTTTGGACGTTCCTGCTGCACGATTTAACTCCACTTCTTCCACTGTTTTTGTCTTACTCCGACTGGTTGGTGCCAAAAACAGATTTGGTGCCATTATCATAGCAACATTATTTAAACCCATCTTATTCTCATTGCTATGGGAGACAACATTTCTTAAAAATTTTAACAATAACTGGAAAAAATGAAAAACATTTTATTAAATAATTCGATATCCATGAAAATATCCATAGTACATTCAGTTGAACATTACAAGGGAGACATGGTGGCTTGGTAAGTATGTCGTTGGTTTACGAACCTGGAGGTTCCATATTTGAAATTTTCCAACCTGATTTCCCCTTATAAATGTAGGATGACAGATTTTCGAAGGAAAAGTGTTCCATGTGTATTATTGACAGCATATTAAAGATCCTCTGACAGTAGGATATCGAAATAAGAGTAGGTCAGGTCAAATTTTCCCCCATAGAATGCTTCATGCCATATGTGTAACTTCATTATTCCTGTTGGTGAATAAATGAAACATATCTAAATATTGTTACATAAGCATTGTCTATCATACAAGAAAAACTTGTAATTCCACACAATTACATGATAATAACTATGCAACAACTGCCACATATGAAATATGGTATTGACTGATAACTCATTTAACACAAATTGAAGTTTTACAAAGACATGGCGATTCATGTGTAACTGAAAATTAACCAGGCTGCTTGGTTATTCAATAATTATTCCACACCATGCTGTACGTACCTTTAAACTATCTCTATGACTATCTGGTAATAATAGTATTAATAAATTAAGTGCATTTAACTTTTCGTATGAACTTTTTAAATCTACAATAGAAAAACAACATGTAATGAGAGAGAGAGAGAGAGAGAGAGAGAGAGAATTTAATGTCCACTCAACAAAAACTAGGTCATTTTGGGACTAACACATGGTTCAATTTTATTTCAATAATTCGCTTGCGTGTATGGGGTGTAATAGGTGTATAGTAGTGGGAGCAAACCAGTGGACCCAGAGAAAACCCATGAGGTTGGATAGGCGACCCTACTCCTTGTCCCATATAACCAGGCAACGCCAGTTGACTCCATGATAGACCTTATGATACAGCGTGCACGTGCTAACTATTTGTCCACCCCCAACCCCCCGCACCCCAACATGTAACGGAGCATAAGACTAATCGAAAAAATAAACTTTAAAACTTATTTCTACTTACGTTCTATTTGAGGGAATGCATCTAAATAATCATAGGTTAGAAGAGGAACAGGTAATTCTCGTAAAAATTGTTTCATTATGGCTGCAGCATCGTGTGGTAAAAATTCTTCCCATCGAAATTGCCCACTGTAAAATTTCTCATTTAGTTCATGTCTAAGTTGCTAAAAAATAAAAATGTAGCATATTGAGATTTTCATTTTAAAAGTTTAAGTTGAAGACAGATTGTTTTTCAAAACACAATTCACTTTTAATTTATTTATCAAACATAAAATCGGTTATGTTGAGCTTAGCATTTGCTCTATCTTTGGATATTAATTTCAAAATTTATCAAATCGACAAATTTATTGTCCATCCAAATTTTTTATATTAAATATTTCAATCTAGAACTAGTCCGCAGCGATCTTACTCTACTATCCCCAACATCACTAGAAGATATGACAATAGAAAACTTTTGAAATTAGGGTGGTGTCTGCATATGAATATTTATTGTGGAACCAGCCTGTGTTTTTCTCCACCTAACTAGCTTCATACACTTTCTTTCTGCCTGCATATGATATATCATTAATACATGGTGCAGTAAAAGCTCAATTTCTTCTGTGTGGCAGTGTCACTCACTAGCTATATGTATAACAATGTGGGGTAACTACCGGCATTTTCCAGAAAACAAAAACATATACAATAAAAGTCATACCTTAACTCTAGTAACAGCACCAGGTATACGTAAAATACCTTCTGAAGTTATTCCATCATTCTCTAGATGTGATATTAACTAAAATATACAAAACACCTTGAATAAATATTATTTTCTCCTGTAACTGGATATGATTAGAGCTAATTTTACATCCATTCCAGTATTTTCACAGAGCTATCTCTTTGATTTAATTAGGTTAATTTGATGTTTATTTCAATTAGCACTGGTGCAAGTACTATACGATTAAATTTTTGTTTTAAAAGATTGAGTGGAATTCTGATTGTTTACTAATTTCAGTCTCATTTTTGTCTCACTGTGTCGACTGTCGACAATGGAACACACAAGCGATTGTATCTCAACATTGGCTTTATATGTGAACCTATTTACTTTGTAAACTAAATGAACATACCATTATATCAATCTGATTAAAATATAGGGGCCTGTTTCACGAAATTTTAACTAAGATAAAATCCAAATTTTAGTAATTTGATTGGATAATATTAGATTGATTTTAGTGCTTAGCCAATCAAAATTGAAGTATCTACTAAAATTTGGATTTTATGTTTAGTTAAAATTTCGTGAAACAGGGCCCAGATCTATATTTCGTTTCGTTTTTGTATACTTTCGATGGCCTCTTACTACATGAAGATCTGACCGATTGTAGTGGAAGCTTGCGTCAGAGGTCATACAAGCGGCTTTTGACCCTATGATGTCAGACATTTGATTAAAAAATCAGCGTTGATGTTTCTAGTAGATTAACCAGTTCCGTGCACCTCATGCCAAAAACTCGCAGTAACAGACCGTTTCATTAGCTAATCCCTCAAATCATACAGAAAGTGGGTTATGTAACAACTCTTACAGATCCTAATGTAGTACAGACAAGTAAATCGAAATTTTGAACTATTAAAAAGAATCAAAGTAGGATCTGTGTTTTAATCAGATTGCTATTATATCAATGATTTTATTTTTGTACTCAAACCAAACTAGTGTAGGCATTTTAAGATAATCAAATTATAAATATTTTCAAATTATAAAATTTCATTAAGATACAATTATTAAACAAGGTATTGTAATCAGGTGACATAACTCTGAAAGTTAACACCAGAAATTGTTGAAAATCTATAAGATTCTGTATTTTACCAATTAGAACATTGGCCAAATGAAGACAGGAATCTAAGGAGTTAAAAGTCAAAATGTGAGTGAGAAATTGTTGGGATTTAAAAATAATGAAATATTCCTATTAAATATTTTATATAAATTTCTATAGGTTTAGAATTTAACAAATAAATAGGGATGGTAACAGAACTGCAGAACTATGAATACATTTCTCATAAAATCAAATTTACCATAGAAAATATTTGAGGCACTTGACTTGTAGAACCTCGTTTCTGATCTTGTTCCACCAGAGTTTGTAACGGAACACCAAATAAACCATGATCTGTTAAAATTATTAAAATATCATAAATTATGATAAAAATTTGTAGCAACTGTTAGTATTATCAATGGGAGGGGAAAGAGAGAGAGAGAGAGAGAGAGAGAGAGAGAGAGAGACATAGTTCTTTTTAGGACTTACATGGTATTTCTCTATTTCAATAATTCACTTACACATAAAGGGTCTTTAGCGGTGGAAGGAAACAGGACATCAGGTTGTTTTATCCCAATTTAACAACCAGATACACATTTCTGGTCAGTTATTGGGGCTATTCTGATGACAAGTAGATTTGGCCTTACAAATACTGAAGATTCTAATCTTGAGTAACAAAGGGTGATGCTTGTGTCACTGTTTGAATGATTCCATTTTGTCCCAGTTGCTTGTGCATGGGACTCAAATGAAGCAGCATCAGATACATATTTGTGAGCAGCTCATGGTAGCAAAGAGAGAGAACCTAACAATGGTATCAAAGGACATCAAGAATAAAGTTAGACTGGAGTAATGCTCACCTTTAAATTTTATTTTTCGTTTAAATTTACTATACGTGATATTACAGGAATCGAAGAGAGCTGTTAATTCTATGAGAGCTAGAGAACGAATTTTAACCATATCTTCTGAACTAATATCACCTATTTTTATTGTTCCACTTGTATGTGGCTTTGTTTCAAAAACCTGAAAAATAAATAGTTGAAATACAAACTGACATGTTTTCTAGAAATATTGATACTTGTTTACTAAATTGAATATGTTCTAAAGTCTCAGTCAATCAAATTGCTTATCTCTGTTTAGCCTAAAGAGAAAATATTCATCATCGAATTCAGTCAAATCATTTACAGAATAAACAACTACACCAAATTTGAACAATATAGCTTAATTAGAAACGAAGCTATTGTGTCCTGAAAAGTGTGACAGACCTCCATTTTAATAGTCTTATTAATGAGTGGGGTGTGAGGGGTATGGGACTAATTCTTAGACAAATGAAGAGCCAAGCTGGGTAAAAATAACTATAATTTATAGATTCTTCTGTCTTTCAAACCTATGATACACTATAAAGTTAATGAATGAATGGCAATACATACAGGTAAATACTATATTTACTGGATTTACTCCCTCACAGACAACATACATATAGTTATTATAGTACTTACAGGCAGTTCTACCCTGCTGGCACTCTGCAACACAATATAAAGAAATACATTATAACAGTCAATTAGGAGATAAAAACTTCCTGTTTTGTTTTTATAGGGTTTATTGTCCATTTAACCATGCGTGAATCATTAAACATGAGACGCGACAGTGTAGAGTTGTTCTAATGGATAGTTTAATCCTGGTTAAATGGACAATAAACCCCCCAATAAATATGAAACAGGAACGTGTTTATCGATATTGTAGCTCAAAGGATTTAGGGATTTCCTTTGGAACTATTTAGGAAACATTCATTTTAAAAAGTCTTTATTTGACCACGTGCTTGCATTCATTTTTAAAAAAATATTCTCAATAGATTTACATATCCATTATTTAATTGAGAAAATAAAATCAACGGTAGATAATCTCAGATCTTATAATGATCTAAAGTGCACATGACCACGGCGTGGTTCCCCCTTGTCAGTGATGCAGGACGGAGGGCCTGACAAGGACAGCTGTCTAGTTCTTCGGATGTTACGAAAAACCGAGGTCCCGTGTATACATTGGAATGCAAGTAAAAGATCCCTTGGCAGTTGGAATTCGATATAAGAGTAGACGATAGTGCCGCTGCCCGGCCAAAATTTCCCTCATGGCACACTGTATGGCGTATGCCCGTCTTCATTAGCCCAGCATAGGAGCAAAACAGTAGGACGTTAAACCCCATTTCATTTCTTTTCATTTCATTTGCAAGCAACAGTACTTTTCAATTTACCTGTACTTCTTGTATATGAAAATCTGATATTTCAGCATCTGATATAACTGGTAACATTCCACCACGGCCATCTAATATATCCTTCTTTTTACCAAAAGTATTTCGTGGTTTAAAACTAATGGCCTTTACACCTAAAATAATCAGGGTCAACAAATTAGTTCCGCATTCGCCTCAATAACAAATGACAATCAATTTTTGTTGGATCAAATATAAAAATTTAACTAACCATAAATAACAATTATTAAAATTAAAGGGATACTCCCAAATATTAAAGAGCTGCGTATATGCGTGTAATATTATGCCATGGCAACAAAACTGTTTATGACTCAATAATATCACATCAAAACAGAATTTGTATGTTCTTCATACTTTAATTCCTGTCCACTGGTTATAAAAACATGAGCACAGCCCTACAGTGTAGATAATCAGGGCACTTTAACTAACTCTCTGCATTCTCATGGTCAGTTTGGTCATGCAATTGTTGATAACTTATGAAAGAGTTAAATATAGCCTACTATAGAGTCACTGTACTATAGAGACTGGAATCAGATTTAATATCTCTATATAGAGCCTGAAATCAAATTTAATATCTCAGTCATCAAATATGACAATGTCCCTTTAAGAAAAAAAAAACAATTTATGATTGACAAATTCTCCTTGAGTTGACTTAACAGTTGTACATTTCCCAAGATTGCAAAATCAATATCCTTTAGATAATATATGTAGTTTATTACAAAACTCACCAGTATCAAGATAGTCTTGAACTTCCAAGGTATTTAATCCTGACATCGAGTAATTTCCTAATTTTAAAAATGGTCTATCTCGACCTTTACCACCACCACTACTTTTACTGATAAGTGGGGGTTGATTGTTGATAACATCTGGGGAAGAAGGAGGATCTTGTACCATAGGTGTCTGTCCCTGTAATAGGCAAAAATGATTTAATTGATCATTTTGTAATCTTGTGTAAAATGGATGTTTAGTACGTATGTATGGTACTAAATGGTAATTCTAATCTATACCCTTTTTATGCCTGGGACAAACTATGCAAATTTTATTTGCCTATAGTTTGGTCAAAGTATTCAGCATTGAAGTTACTCAGCCAACGCAGTGGACACACAAGGTGAATGCCTGTGCCGATTTCTAAATTGAAACTAAATTCAAGCATGCATGGATGTGCTTTTGGCCACAAAATATAGCTGGATGTCGCCATTTTGTATGTCATGTGAAACTTCGGTTTTCATTGGCTGAGGAATTCTAGGGCATGCAATATTATTTGACAATATGAACACACTCACCGAACGAGTCAGTGGAAATAAATATTCGGGTGAATATCGCAGGTTCATGGATAACTTCTGTTGGAATTTATTGTTTAAGATCTAAATGGTTTTTGATATAAGTACTTTTGGTTGTGCATGGTCTTAATATGTATATTTTACTTTTATTGTTGGTAAAAGAAATAATTTTAATTTTAGCAGGTAAACTGACATATAGACCATATTAATTAGTTTCCACATTCACCCCATTCTATATTTTTAGACTAACAAAGCTGGGATTTTTTTCAAGACTAGTGATGATTTGGACCTACCTGTTCATCAGGATTATTAAATATATCTCTAACATGAACTTTCTGATTAGCTTTCTGCCGTTTTCTCATAGTAGTACTCAGAGTGTCCACACGACGCTGTACCGCCTGTGCCTGTTTTCTCGTCAGTGATGATGTTAAGGCTTCCAGTTCATCATCACTCAGATCTTTCCCTTCTGTTAACAAATGATTTAGAATTAGTGTGTACATGTCAAATGCAGATTTCACTATATGAATACTATTCTAATATTTGATTCAATTTATGACTGTCTATGTTGCATTTTCAGATTTCTAGAAACTATAAATATTTTAAATCAATATAATTACCTTTGTCTGTTTACTTTGGAATATTAGTTGATGATTTTAATGAATCATTACAGAATTCATAGGAGAAATAACAAATCAAATTTCATTACTTTTAAATAACGAATTCTAAAAAAACAGTTAGGATACCATGAAATCTATTTGAATATTCAAATATTTGAGTGAATACTACTTACGAGTTATGTTTAATTTGAACTGAAATCAAATGGGGTTAACATCCTACTGTTCTGCTTCGATTGGGCTAATAAAGACGGGCATACACCATGCAGTGTGCTATGAGAGACATTTTGTCCAGACAACGGCAACACGGATTACTCTTATATCGAATTCCAACTGCCAAGGGATCTTTACAACTATACGTTTTTCCTTGCCAGGCCCTCTGTCCTGCACCACTGACAAGGGGGTAACCATGCCAGTAAATCCCGATGAACTTTCTTGGTCAACACAGGACCCCCAGATTAGTGACCCAACATCTTACTAAGCCACTGTGGCTCCCTCTTCAATTTGAAACTAACGCTATTTTTGCCTGGAACGGTGTTTGCTCATTCTAATTATAATCTTTCATGTGTACTACCCATCCGTCCAAGAAGACACACTTTACTTTCAAGTAAAAACAGAAAATTATCATTTATTTCTAGGAGTAACAATACCTTGAAGTTTATTAACCACAAAACCATATCCGGCCGACTTCAGCCATTCTGCTTCTATTTCACCCTCTAGAAAGACAATCAGTACAAATTTTAAGAACATGTAGGCGTCAAAATGCAATGAGGATTATCTTTAGTCAGCACTGGGATATAAACCGGAGACAATGATTTGCACAAAGTTTCAAAAGTGAACTGGTCAGTGAAATGAAATGCAGTTTAACATCCATCCTTCTGTTCTACTCCATACCAATAAATGGATACGAGCATACGCCAACAGTGTGATATGAGTTAAGTATTGCCCTGACAGCTGCGCGAAGTCATATGAATTCCAATTGTCAACCTTATTTTTTTTGTCCCATCTAAACGATTAGACACTGTCCTTGCCAAGCCCTACATCCTGCATCATAAAGGAGAACCAAGCCAGAAAATCCTGAGGAAGTTTCCCAGCCTACACTGGGATCGACACCGGGATCCCCAGGTTATTTGTTTGGTCACTCCATTAACATTTAACAACATGAACAAGCAAGTGTGTGTCAAGAATTCTGCCCTGCAAGTGCAGGATAATTATCCATGTAGTACCTGTTGACCATAAACAGACAGCTAAGCAAATGTCTTGGATAACCAAAGCCTTTATTGGTAGGTTGATCACAAGCTGACCAATCAAAACTGTGCACTACTAAATGCACCAACAAAGAAATCTCTTTAGATGCAGATGAAGTGGAGGAAACACAGGACCTTGGTTTTTCGTCCCATCCGAACAACTAGACGCTGTTCTTGCAAGGCCCTCCATCTTGCATCCACTGATAGAGGGGAGCATACTGGAAAATTCTCGATCAACACTGGGATTGAACCCGGAGCTCCTGATTAGTAAGCCAGTGTCTTACTCACTGAGCCACAATCATGGGACTGAAATCACAACTGCAGATGTGACAAATCTGAAGAAAATTTACTTACCATCAGGAGTTTTGGAGAGCAGTTCCTCATCTTCTTCACCCTGTTCTTTAGCATTATCAATATCGTTTAATTCTTTCAAAAATATCTCATACCCCTCTTGATCTGACGGCGCTGCCATGTTGGCTAAATTCTTTATGCAGTTTTACTACACCCCCATGTCTCCTAGTTTCCAATACTGAAAAATATCAAAATAAATACCATCTGATTCAAATACAGATCTATATTTCGTTTCGTTTTTTATACTTTTGATGGCCTCTACCACATGAAGAGCTGACCGGTTGTAGTGTCAGGTCGCGTCACAGGTCATACAGCTTTTGACCCTATGACATCAGACATTTGATTAACCAATCAGGGTTGATGTTTCTAGTGGATTATCCAAAGTTCCATGCACCTAACACCAAACATCATCCAGAACATGGGTTATATAACAACTCTTCCAGATCCTAGTGTAGTAAAGACAAGTAAAACTAAATTTTGAACTATAAAAAATGAAACGAACTACATGTAGGATCTGTGTTTTAATCAGATTGAAAAAAATAGTCTCAATAATTTTATGTCTACGGAAGTTAATTTCAGCTATATTTCACTCTGAACATTTGTTTTTGAAATATCAAATGTCGAATATTATTAACATCAAATTCAGCATCTTCGAATAGCTTTTGTAAAGTTAACTCCTTCAATTTGAAGCGATTTGAAGTTGTCATAAAAATTGGTGGATAGATTCTGAAAAACTGAAATACAGATTGAAAATAGCAAATGTACTTTATCCTAAATGAACACACAGTTTCCATGAACTTGATATTTCAACCTGCAAGTGCAACCCTTTGTTTACAGATTTAGTTTGCTAAATGTTGTTGATTGAAAAAAATAAAGTAGCCTAAAATTCTTGGCATCAAATAAATGAGTAAAATGTTCCAGGATGACGTAATTTAACTGACAAGTATGTGTAGAAGAAACTGATAGGAACAGAACCTGTAAACAATAGATCAAATCAGTCAATCTGGTGTCTTGAGGCAAGATGAATACTACAACCGTTTCATTTTACATAAAGCATGTAGTTAGTTGAAGTCATAAACTATAAAGGTGATTTTATCTCAACATTAGCTTTATGTATCGTACAATTTTCATCTCCCAAAAGAAACATACAGTGCAGTATGTATGTCCTTTTCAATGTAGATACTACTAATACTAGATTGTTCGAATTTCAAAAGAAATGAAACTGATCAGCATTTAAGATTGTAATGACAAGGTAAACAGCATGTCAAACTAAACTTACCTTTCATTAAACTGCATCTATATTATCTAATACAATGAGAATTTATTCTGTGAGCCCACACATGTTCATTTTGTGTGTGATTGCTGTACTATTGCCAGTGTAAAGAAATAAGAAGAAATTGTTAAGCAAAAGCTCTCTATGTATAGAATATTTAAGTACTGTATTGTATTAAGTCAACAAATATGATAGGAAGACCTCAAGGAGGACAATATGACATGGCAAGATGTATATAACCACCAAGAGGTTTTTATTTGAATAATATGTTGAACTGATACACAAGAATATATTAGAGGTGGGAACATGAGTGCTGCAAGTCGGATGCAACGAGTACGACTTACATGTAAGTCGCATCAATAACCTGACTCGCGACTCCACATGAAATATATATTGTGATCCGAGACTCTAATCGGACTAGCGACGTGAAAGAGCTTAGAACTCGAGTTGCAGTGAAGGGACCATGAATGGCTGACTCATTTGATGAGCTGGCACCTTGAACAGGACTCGAGCTTTGTGAAGACTTTTGACTCGACTCGGTACTGAAGTCAGCGACTTGAGACACAACTTGGACTTTTTCCTAACGCCTAATACACAACGGTAATGTTTTAGGCACTTTGTAAGCCATTTAATTCAACCTCCCAAACCCTAGAATACTAGATCGCCCATTTTCCTGAAGCAACGACTGCGAGTTTTACAACATCTGGACTTTGCTTGTTTTACTTCACAATTTTTGAACTTGTAGCTATGTTATCTACAGATATACAACTGGCGGTAGTTTTTTCTTTGATGTCCACAGCAGTTATATCTCATAACAACCTGTCATGACGTCATCATAGGTTGATATATTCGTTTATATCAACCGCTGATGATGTCATGACAGGTTGATATTTCATATCAACCGCTAATGACGTCATCTCAGGTCGATATATTCGACTCATATCAACCGCTGATGACATAGATGATCAAAATAAAACAAAAAACACAGAAATAAATTTTTATTCTTTTGACAATTAAAAATTGTTATGGTACAGTTTGTAACATTCCGGGCCGAAATAGACGGCGTACTTATCGATATACATGTATTTAGATCAGTTATCCATGTCTAAGACATGTCAGAATTTTCTTTTCGTCCACTTTGCGATTATTTCTCCACACACTACAAGACTTGAAAGTATTTATCGCCCAAGAGTTCCTTTGTGAAGTATTTTTGGGTACAGTCCACTTAAAACAGTCGGTCAAATCCTTCTCTGAACATACCGAGGACCTTCAATCATGGTTTACTGTCAGAATTCTTGGAAAAGAATGCCTTTTGGTCCAAATTTTCTGCAGGCTTTGGATAGATCCTCGTCGATATTTGCATTCACATCTATTCCATTGTCAATATGTTGGCTAAAAAGGATTGATTATTCGTCTGACTTCGTATTACTATCCATTTTGTTTTTGCTTTCAATTCAATAGTCCAAAATAGCGATGTATAAACAAAAACATGCACGTAATTACACGTGATTACTTCGGTAATTTTCGCTATTTGGCGGAAACTATCAAGCAATTATCCAATCATTGTTGCCTTTTAATGGAAGAGCCCATTAAATTTAAGGGTGAAATGGCGTTGTATATGTCGGATATAAACCTACTCTCCCTCGGGTAGGTTAATATCCTATACACACATGTGCAGTAGCGTCCAATCAGAGGTTGTGACATCGCGACCTCCACGGAAATCTTGACATTGAATGAATCTTGAACTTTGCAACTCAAATACCACAGGTAGACATTTTAGCTTGAAAGCGCGAATACCAAGTCGAGGAATCTGATGGGCTCACAAGCTGGGCTTGTACCCAATCAAAATTAGTGCCGAAATATGCAGGGTATTACCTGAAAGCCTTGATGAGATTTACGTAGTTAAAGCGAGATCAAGCCTTCTATTGAAGATGCAGATTGCCACAAATAATCTTCTCTCTGTGTGTGTGTGAGTGTGTGTTTCATTGCTACTGCAACAGATATCAACATTTGTCAATGCGACGAGTTGCCAAATATCAAACATTTTTGACATTCAGTGACAAGGAATTGCTTGTTGATCTGAAATTGTACATCAATTGCTGTGTATGCAGCAGCAACAATCCCACATGGAGTATTTCTTTTGTTTGACCAATTGGCAAGCTAAAATATCAATGATTTCCAACTGCTAAGGGTTCTTTTACATGCACTTTGGTTTTTTCTCCAATTTGAACAAGTAGGCAAACTATCCATGCTGGCAAGTGAGAATCAGGTTTGAAAAATCCAGATGGTTCATCTTGGTTGACATAATTCAAAGGGACATGTTCAAATTTTACTTTCAATAATTAAAGGACAATATTGGTGCCAGTCATTATCACATATGTGATAGAGCTGGTTAAACACATTCCAAATATAATTTTAACACAGAGATTATTGCTACTATAACCGAGTAATACAGATTAACTGAATCGGAAGTGACAAACGCCAAAGGAAAACACAAGTCATCTCTCTATATAACTGACTGATGTGACGAGTGATAACGGATATATGGGCGAATTTCTGCCCACTAATAATTCCTCCGAAGACCAAAAGTTGTTGTGTGAGACTGTGAGAGGATATCTGACAATTCATAAAAAGAATTGACTGCCACTACATGTAGATAAGTGAACACGAAAGAAAAACAGAAAAAGTCTGTGCATTACCATGTTTTAGGTATAGAATGAATATAAACAAGGGAATGTACGGACTATTTCTATTTTTTCTCGTGTTCTTTTATCTAATGACATTCAATTACTTTATTGAATTGTCAGGTATTCTCTTACAGTCCCATATAACAACTTTTGGTCTTCGAAGGAATTATTAGTGAGAAGAAATTCGGCCGTGTATATGTTATCACTCGTCACATCAGTCAGTTATATAGAGAGGTGACTCGTGTTTTCCTTTGGCGTTCGTCACTTCCGATTCAGGATACCTGTATTACTCGGCTATCGTAGCTATGATCTCTGTGTTAAAACTATATTTGGAATGTGTTTAACCAGCTCTATCACAAATGTGATAATGACTGGCACCAATATTGTCCTTTAAGTCTGGAGTTACATTAAATGATATAAATCAATACATTCTCATTGTATGCAAATGTAAGTGATAATGCCTCTTTAAATATCTAACAATATATACATACATATATTGCATAATTAACCTTCATATACCTGTAAAAAGAATATGTTCATGTAATACAGATACAGGACATTGACCATAGTACAGAAGGACTGTACCAATAAAATGAGCACAAATTATCTTGAATCTAGTACACAAAACATATTTACCCATGTATCATTCAATTCATGAATATATAAATATTATAATCATATGACATGTAGTCGTAAGGGGACATAAATAATACATGTATGTCAAAGCAAACATTTAGTGATTTACTGATATTTCACTTAAGAATGGAATAGGGTTGAGAGTCAATTTGAGACTAAATACAGTAATTTGTTATTTCTACAGTGAATAAAAGAATCCAAATTCAGATATCAATCAATTGATTAATTAATCACAGCCCTCTAAAATCCACAATGTACTAGCGCAGGGGTGGCCAAGTTTTTACATTCCATCCATATGTGCCAAATATTTGCTGTACGACTCAAGATGTGCCATACTTTAAAATATCAAAATTAAGAATATGTTAACAGAGATTTAAACATCATTTTACCTAATGAGACTTTTGATTTTGTTTTTATTTCCTCAAACTGTTGATAATAGAAGTCAAATTAGTTATTTTTGAAAAGAAATGAAATGAAATGGGGTTTAACGTTCTACTAATCTGTTCCAACCAGGCTAATGAAGTAGTGCTGGGTTTTGCTACTGCAGTCACGATACGATACATATTGCGATTCAGGTGCTAT